CAACTCGGTTTCTGCTTCCTTGTCAGATACCACGCCGAGCATAGTCTCAGTGACGCCGACAGCCACTGACTGAGTCTCAAGTTTGACATCGACAGCAACATCCTTACTGAAGTTTAATTTGTGGTGATGAATGGCATTGACTTCATCGATGCGCCTGTCATCTCCAACTGCGACAGACGTTCGATCTCTCATCTTGAAAGCTGAGGATTCAAGACGTGCATCTTGGATCTTCCTTTCAAGCAGTTGCATTTCAACACTGAGCTGTTGAAAATCCGTCAGACCAGAGATGGCACTGTGCTCCCAACCCTCCATCGCTGGTTTGCTGTTCAATTCTTGTAAATCTTTGTCAATGCTAGCGCTAGATTTTTGAGATTCCTCTTGGCTCTTGACCAAGGCGGTCAGTTGTCTCTTTTCTTCCTGCAAAACAGCAATCTTCACCTGTAGGACAGGAATGGCCTTCACTTGCTCCTCCAGGTCCTTTAATCTTCGTAAAGCAGCTGCCATCTGATCCCTGACCATCTGCAGGTGGAGTGGGCTCACACCGTTCACTGGAGATGCCCGGCCTGAGCTTGAGGGGCTGATTTTTAGGCCGCTCCCCAATAACAAGGTACCTTGCCTGGGCTGGTCTAAGACTGTCATCTTAGCACCTTGATTTAGGGCACTCCAGCTTGTGTATGGAGACAGGGTACCGGTAGATCCAAGACCACCAAAACTGGCCAGTCTACGCCGCGGCTGTGGTTCTGGAGGTCCTTGCTGCGATGAGCCTTTCTCATGTTCCAAACGCCTGCATGTTTCCATCAGAGTCTTTTCTACTAGAGGATTTGATTTGGTTGGGGTAGGATGTTGTGTGGCTGGGGTAGGCATCCCATGTTCATCCCTCTGAGAGGTAACTAGGTCTTGAGGGACCTCTGGTCTTTGACTGGAAGATTTAGGTTTGGAATGGGGACGTGGCGGTCTTCTATTGTTGACAGAAGAAGAGGAAGAGGATGAAGAGAGAGAGGTTTTCTTGGCTTCATCACTGCTCACCGAGGACAAAGACTCTGAGGAAGTCCAGTGTGTGGGGTTTATGATGCGTTGCGGCTCAGAGGCAGCATTTGCCACCCCCGGCCGCTTGTTAAAATACAGTCGGCGAATGGTGTCACTTCGTTCGATATCATCCACGTATTTAACAAAGTCTAAGTCAAGCTGGTACCCATATGGTGTATCGATGCTGAACGGGCTACTCTGGAAAGTGTCAGCAGAGATCTCACTCCAGTCTGTTTAAACAAAGAAGACAAAAATGAACTTAGCAGAGAAATTTGGAAAAGAACACAAAGTTTAATATGAATGCGTCTTTATCATAACTTTTTTGTAAAAGCTAAAAATACACTTCCAGGCCACGGGCATGAAAATTTATGACTGTAGAAATAACTGACATGTCTGAAAACACAATATAAAAATCACAGAACAAAAAGAGACTTGCGGAAACCAAAAAGAAAACAATCATTACTAATAAAATAGTAAGTACATACATATTCTTTGCAATCTAGAAACATTACAAATAGCGACATTCTCAACTTTCAAAATGTATCTGATTTCTGTGAAAAAGTAGTATGCATTCCTTATTAAAACCCTCAAATTTCAATCAAAATTATATAGATAAATATATCTAAAAGATGACATATTCTTTTTCTTACCTGCTGATTAGAATTTCCACAAAAAACTGTTGTAAATCTAATAAAGTTCCAAGAAAGTTCAACTGCTCTCTTTCTCCTCTCTGTCCTAGTCTTATTCTGTCTACTCTCCTCCTCCAGGAGGCCTTAAGTCTCTTATTTTGCATTTCTCTCCACCCACTGCTTTTTTATTCCCTTCCTCTTTCATCCACTCAAGCACTCTAAAACATTTCCTTTGAAAAGGAATAAAAACCACACTAACCATGCCTTTATACAGAAAAACCCCCAATCAAATACAAACAAATCTACCCCCTTGCATTATTCAGAAAAAAAGAGAGAATGCAAATCAAAACCATTTTGGTGATAACTGGTGAAACTCCAACTGCAGAGTTGCTGATTCTTACGTTGTCGATGGAAATGTGTTTCTTGAGTCATGGCAGCTGCTGATTGACAATACCGCTGTTAAATTTCTCAGCAGTGGAAACGCTGGGAAAACAAGAACAGACAATAATATATAATCAGAGTACATTAAACATATCACAGATGTGCCTGTTGTTGTTTAGCTGATAAAAAGTATTATGTATTACTCAATGACAAAGTATTGCAACCAGAGCTCTGCTATTAATCTTTTCTTGTTCCACAAGAAACTGTTACAGGAAGGGTTTTATCCAGACTGCAAGCTGTATTTCATGTAACAATTTAAAACTCAAGCCACTTCAATCAAACAATATATAAACAAAAATATAAAACTGGACAGGTGTAAGATGAAGGTTTTGTGTCTGCTTATTTATGGTTAACAGAGATTCATTATCTTTTCATATTCTGCCCCCTGCTGGAGATATGAAATGTAAGCAGTCTGTAGTTCTGCAATACACCACCTGAAGAGAGAGGCTGAAAGAATGAGAAAGGCAATGATAGTGAAACATGAATGGATTGTTAAAAAATGGTTCTTTTCTCAGTCTTTTGGATAAACTGGTTTGAATATATATTTTTTTTTTTCAGCGTTTTTACAGTTGCTGCAGCTGTTATATGCAGAGTTATAACTCAGTGACACACTAACAGCAACAAGCAAAACCACATGTGTCCACAATGTAATGTCACTTCCTTCCGATTACGACAGAAATGAAGAATGAAAGAGACCCTGCAAACCAGGAGAAGCTTGCACTGTCACTGCAGACAGATATCTGAAATATGAGACCTGCATTGGGTAAAGCATTGTGTCAGCTGAATTGCTTGGCAGTGAGAGGACACGGACACATTGACACAATGCGCACAAATGGATGCACACTGATCCATGAACACACATGCATATATGATATAAGCATAAAGGCTTTAGGGCATAAAGTGACACCTGAGAATAACTAAGAAAATAAATGTAAAACACAACTGATGAAAGAGAAAAAGTTCTGTATCATTTCTTTTGGCACATATTAAGAAATACAGTTGTTTTCGCACTGCAGAAAAACAAATATGAACTGAAATGACTACTCATGGATAAATCATTTATGCATCTAATATGCATATAATTTGCAAAACATTGATAACAGACAAAAACTACAAATGAACTGGATTACTAAATGTAACAAATGCCCATGCTGTTGATTTGTCAGCACTCTAGCAAAACAACTAATATGTAATCCTTAAACACAAACAAAGGCTGTTTTGTTGGAATGCAATGAAAGAGGGAAAAGCAATCTGGTTAGCTTTACTGGATGCTGCATCCTTTAAGGGCAAAAATATGTATGTGTGCAATAATGGACATAATCTGCTCCTGGTACAGACCAGTATATCTTGGGCTCACTGGATTACATACTAATTTGAGACTAGCTCAGCTGTACCACAGAACCCAGATCCTTAACTAATACCACCGTCATATTTAATGAATGTAAACATAACTTAAATAGAGAGTGCAATAACCAATACTTTGTATTTTGGCAGCAATAATTACTCTACCTTGCCTTGAGATATTTTTAAACCTTTCTCTGAAACATTAATGACATTTACATACATTTAAAGACTCCAAAACGCCATCTCTGCAGCAATATATTTCTGGACTGCCCAAAGGAACGACTAAATAATACAGTGAATAGCTTTCAAAAAGATAGTCTATCCCATCTGCACTAGTGCAGGTGAGTCTGTTGTTTACATACCAGAGCGAAGCCCAGCTTCAGATATGAACACGAACACTGCTCAGCGTTTCTTCTGCGTTTACAATTGAACACTGTTGTTTATCTGGAAACAGTGCTCCAGTTTTGAAAGTTTAGCGTGAACGGTCAGTCCTGGAGTAACTTTATCATGCTGTTCTCTGTAGATATGCGTATGGAGGAGTTGCTGCTTACGTCATGACGCATTACGGCAGGTGTGCAGCAGAGGTCTATCAGCGTGAATTCGTAACAGCGTGCTACTTCGTACTTATTTAAATTTAAAATAACCACATGTATGGTTCTGTGGTATATATTTATATATGGTTTGTATAAAAATAATATATTTAAACAATTCCATTTAATTTATAATTATAAAAATGTAGCCTAATACTGTAAAATGCATAGAAGTTAAATCAGAAACGAATGTTTTGTCAAAACTCAAATTAACTCTAATAATGACAGATGTCTTCAGGATTAAAGTGACATCTGCTGGTCATTTTCTGAAGTACAGATCTCTCGTTAGAGATGTGCATTGGAAGAAACAATAAATAACAGGCCTACACATAGGGGAGACCGCCTTCATTTTACTTTAGTGAATAAAGACGGGTTTGCTTAGAAAGTCTATTTCTGCAGGCTACATACCTTAAGGTCTACAAAAGTCCACAGAAAAGCTATTGCTCATTTTTTCAATATAATTTTTAGCTAAATGTAAACTAAAATAATCATGAAACTCTTATCAACTCATGAAAACACAACGTAAAATGTAACATGACTAGTTTTGTAATTACTTATTGATGAAAAAAGTATTAATTATAAAAATCATGAATTATTAATATAATGAAAAATTAAATATATATAATATTGTAAACACGTGACAACTTGGCCTGACAAAATGTATAAAAAAATATCCTTAGCCTAAGAACAATTTTAACCCTTTGGATAAATTTCATTATGGTTTTATTGTTCCTGTTTGCTCAACAAAAAAATATAAGAATACATACAACATTTTTTTTTTAATTTTAAGTATTTTACTAGTTAATTAAAAACAAAAAAAAAAGAAGAAAAAGGAGAAGTCTGACTTAAAAGTTCTGCGTGTATGCTTACTACGTAAGTTATCAAACAGTGATCAAACATTTCTATAAAAATATAGTCACATAACATACACCATGTTGTCAAAAGATACAATACAATCATTTTTCATGTATCAGTTTATTAGTAGTTGTATTTACAAATCATCTTTTAAACTGTAAATTATCAGTAATTATCTGTAAATTTACATTGGCAAGCCTCCATGAGGTGCATCTCTGCACAGATAATCAACATAAATGCAGATAAGAGAAGAACATCAACAGATTTTCTAAACTTCTTTTCGATGGCTGAATAAACAGCCTGTGGAGACACTGAAATGGTTCCCTAGTGATAAAGAAGAGTTACCATTTGAATTAGACAACTACACAGGGAAATAACCTTTTGGGGGGAAAAAAGATAAAGGGGACAGAGCAAAACTAAATTTCTCTGGATTTGTCTTAAGCTGACTTGCAAAGCACAGATTGTCAAGTTTTAGCTCATACATCTCATTAATAGATTCTCAAATGAGTTTAGAACAAAAACAATATCATCCTTTTAGGAAACTAGATCTTAACACGTAACAAAGACTCAAGAATTCCAGAAGGTCGAATCAGAATTACTGGCCTTAAATCTCCTTAAATATTCTTTTTGAGAATATGATACTGCTGCATTCATAAGAACTAAGAGTTATTTCTTTAATGCAGTAAGAATGTGTGTTAAGACATTCAGACTTTAAAATGTAAATATGCTGTGCCATACATACCACAGAATAAATGTATTATTTAAAATTACGTCTTAGCTTTTTTAGCACTGAATTTGGGACATTTAATTTGAACATAGCTGGAGCTCTGGGCAGGCAAATGAACAAGAGCAACTTACTTAAAACTTATATTGTTTTCCTTTTCATCTATGAAACATGCGTTGAAAGAACTGATATGAAGAAGAGGATTACTCCTGTCAGTAAGCTCCTACATAACATAATTTCATTCATTGTTAACAGGTTGCAGTTCTTTCCTTTGTGGACTTTTGTAGAATTTTGTTTATTACACAGGCTCATATGAGGGCACATAAAGTCACATGCAAGTAGGAAGCGCTTTTCTATTTTATGATCTTACGATTATGACTTTGTAAACACAGTATTAAGGAGATTGCTCAGTATGCGCCAATATTTCAATTCTAATTTGATATTTTTTTCCATTTTCATTTTTAATACTGGGCCTGTCTTACTACAGAGACTTAATTTGTAAAAGTGGGGGGGATACAAAAACATTTGATTTCTTTCTTTAAGGAGAACTTCTTTTTCAAGCAACCACTATTTTGTAAAACAAATAAAATAACAGTAAAAAAATTTTTTTTGATAAAGCAGTGTATGGAATAAAACATCTTACAGTGATACAATCAAATATTTCTTTTGAAAAAATCCAGTCCAATATCACAATTTTAATACAATCTACAACCCCATTTAAAGCACTGATAAATATAAATCCAAATGCATGTTTAAATTCTGTATATACTTAAATTTATGTAAAATGTGAGCGAATAGAAAAAAAGACTAAGGTGTGACAAACAAACAAAAATCTATGAAACAGAGGCAAGGACATTGCACTCCTTCAGGATAAATGGGTTTAATATTGGTCTCTTCCTTAAGAAAGGCTGACTTATCAAGTTGTCCCTTTGTGTTAAAGTGCCCACCACGTTAAATTGGCCCCACTTTTTAAGACGGCTCCTCCTAATCGAGTGGCCTTCCCAGTAGGCCTCATCAATGGTATAACCAGTTCTGACACTGGCCCACAAAAACTTACAGGTAAAACTGTGCAAAAGCGCTTTCTGTCTCACTCGTCGTCCCACATGCCTCACAAGGGCTCTTTCTTTATACATCTCTTGGTCCGCCAAGAATCGCAACAGCATTGTGTACAGTACAGCTAGCTCAGTGTATAACTCATTTAAATGCACCTCTACGCCTCACTCTGCAAGGAAATCCTTGCTATAAAACCCAGAAAAGAATTGTAAAACCATCTCTAAAAGAGTTTAGACACTATAGAGTGGCTTAGCAATCTTTCTGACATCTTAACTGTGGCACAAAAAAACAACCTCCATCCTTTTCCTCCTTGTACCTTTTCTCAATCCTCTTAAACCGGCTGATCCTGGCGACTGTAGAGCCACAGACCATTCAGCTTTTTTATGCGAGTGGGATGCATGGAGTCTTGAGTCCGTCCGCATGCTTATTGCTCTAAAGACACTGAGCGAGAAAAAGAGAGACGAAAAGAACAGAGATAGAAAAACTGCTGTGGATGATGACAGATATCAGAGGACGAAGAGGTAGACAGCATTCCAGAAGAAAGAGAAAAGAAGCCAGAGAGTGAGAGGGAAGACAGAGGAGAGTGAGAGAGAAGGCATCAGAGGAAGCACAAGTTATCGTGCTAGCAGCTTGATGAGGTTGGCGCACATCTCAAAGAACTCTATGGTGTGACTTCCTGGGCGGGGGAGGATCTCTCCCCCTGTGGAATCCACTGAGGAGGTAAGAGAAGAAGCCAGAGAGCCTTCTGCCGCTTTCCCTCCGGATATCGGAGGCGTGGAGGGAGCGGACACGTCGCCCTTTGCTGCATCCTCACATTCGTTTTTTTCATTCCTGTCGTTCTTTAGGGTAGTCCGGTAGTTACCGACTGAGCCAGAGCGATGAGGTGTGGCAGTCCCTGATTTTACTTCTACCATGTCATCTAAATGAAACAGAACAGAAGGCTTTAGAGAGTGAAATATACAGAAAACGCTCTCCAGAACAGAAATTTTAACAGAATTTCGGTTATGATTCCTTTTCTGGAATGATCATTGAGATTTTAGCAGAACCAATATAACATTTAAGAAATAAATATTTTGTTTTAATTTACATTCTTACGTAAAGTGTTTTCAAATTTCATGCTAACTTGTTACTAAAAATAACTACACTAACACAATGCAATAACTAGTTTTAAATGCCAAAAAATATTTTATATATATTTTATTTATATACAGACAGACAGACAGAAGAATGTGGTTAAATTAAATTCATTTTTATAAAATACTATTGATTACGAAACTCACAATGTGTATTTTTACATGTTGTCAAATGAACAACCATTGAGAAACTACACTGTCACAGTCTCACAAGATTTAAGTAATGAATAACATGGTAACACTTTGGACATCCTGAAATAATATTTGCATTCAGTACAAGAGTCAGATTTATTCAGTTACCACTCTGTGTGATTCATATCCTTATACGTGTGATTATGTATACATTTTTATATATTTTTTTTATTAATTACTGTAAATTAAAGTACCAACTAGTAAATAAATAAATAAATACGTTTTAAAGCACTGAATAAAACCACACACACAAAGTGACAATTTTACCATCTATGCTCCTGAAGTCTAGTAAATAGGTCCTGCTGTCCACCTGGTAGAGCTGGAGGCTCATCTTTGTATGTATGCCAGTGACTGGGTTCTTCCTCCGCACTCGCAAGTAATAAGGATTAACTACCTATCAAACCACAGAGGAAAAAAAAACGTCAGCAGAGTAAAATGTGACTGTAATGGATCTAAAGTTCATTAATATTCAGCAAGGCTTTTAACTTTAAAAGGGACTGGTACATTGCACTGTAACACTGTTTTGAGAAAGTCTGAATGGCGTACTCCTGAATAGCACATGATAAGAGGCCGCTATGAGATAAGACAAAGAACGAAAACTATTATAAACAAAGACATGTAAGCCACTTCCCTCTAAAACTGATGACTCACTCAGTCAAGCATACATGAACTTCAACCAGATGAATTAAGACACACAAAGCAAAAATATAAACACCTTCTGCCACAGGTTGACAATCATCATTTCTGCATAAATGAAGGCATACATCCAAATAATTAAACAAAATAATTATTTGTCCTTGTGTATTTACATGTAAGGAAGTATGTCTGCTACAACATCGTTTTTGGATATTCGTCTTGTAGGCATTTTTTTTTTTTCATAATATGATTGAAAACAAAAACAAAATAATCATCTGTAATTTTATGTTTCATCCACAGATGTTGAGAGAGCCCAGAATTCCACAGTAAATGTTTAATCACCAAATCAGCATATTAGAATGATTTCTGAAAGATCATGAAGACAGAATGGCTGCTGAAATGCAGCTTTGCAATCACAGGAATAAATACAACTTTAAAAACGATTTAAAAAAGAACACTGATTTTAAATCGTAATATTTTACCATATTACTGTTTTACTGTATTTTTTGACCAAACAAATGCAGCTTTGTGAGCATAAAAGACTTCAAAAAGGTTTCAAAAACATATATAAAAATAAATATCTTACTGACCCCAAACTTTTGAACGAAGTGCATTATTAAAAACAAATTCTGTCCTTAATACATTAGAGGTTCTGTTTAGCTCCAAGGTGTTATAATAATGACAGTAAGATATGCAGATATCATATTGTAAAGATTTCTTTTAACATTCTATTTGGCCTGCCTGTATGTGTGTGTGAGAGAGAGAGAGAGAGAGAGAGAGAGAGAGTCAAGCCTTTTCTATTTATAGAATCTACAAGAAGCCCTAAAACATCTTTCCCACAAGGCAGAGATGGAATTTACCCTAAGCTCATGAACCTCAGGAGGACAAGCAGTAGAAATGCATACCAGGAAATGCAGTTCACTCTATTTATCTATTTTTACCACTCCTCCACCCTTTATTACTACAATTTCTATTTTCCAGTCCCTAAATTGACTAACTGGTTCCTTGTCTGAATGCAATTTATCCCCATAGTCTGTTCCAAAACATGGCAACAAATTACTCACCTTAAAGGGACAGTTCACCCAAAAATGAAAATTCTATCACAATTTACTCACCCCTTATGTCATTCTAATATTGCATTGGACACCATTTTCATTGTGTGGACAAACACACAATGTTGAAACATTCTTCAAAACATCTTTTTCTGTGTTCCACAAAAGAAAGCATTTCATACAGGATAACTCTTAAAATGCTAATCTCTTTAAATGCTAAACAATTCAGTGTTCCTACAAATGTACAGTACAATCCAAAACACAAGCACAGGCGCTTACCTTCCACTCATAGTCCAACTGCTTCATAGCACGGCAGACCTCACTCATGATATCATTCGGTCTGCTCTGGCTACGGATTCCCAGGTGCCACTTGGCCCGCCGGACACCGAGATGCTTGGACTTTTGGGGGTTAAGCTCATCCAGCGTGTGTCGAGGACGTGGCTGGGACTCAGTCACCAGGAATGGCACTCTCTCGGGGTGAATCTTCGCAGAGTGGTGCGCAGGCAGGTCATCTAGGAAGCTGTCCGGGGGGCTGGAAGCCAAATAGAAATCTTTGGCCTCGTTCATAATGCGCCGGTTGTCTATGATCAAGTGATAGGCCACAGCAAGAGGATCCTGGTGATTGCGACTGCAAAGCAAACAAGGGCAAAAACAGGACAGATGACAGTTTATAGTTGTTTGGTAGCATTTATTTTGACTGCAGTGACACTGAAAGAGCTTATACGCTAGTACAGCCCAATTCCTGAAACATTTAACTCTTTTAGGTGTTTCTTTTTAAACAACAGGTAGTTTAAAAAAGATGGGTTACAATTTTAAATCGGTCTTATTAGCAGAGAGAATTCTTTTATAGCTAAGTGAAATGGACATTTTACCTGTAACATACCCAAATGTAACAGAACTGCGATATTGACAAAAATTATGTATTTTTGGAATTTTGCCAATAACGATAATGAGATATTATACAATGTTTTTTATTTAAAAAGGACCATACCTACCATGAACTAACAATAAACAGTTGTATTTTTTATTAACCATCATTAACAAAGATTAATAAATAATAACAAATTTACTGCTCCGTTTATTTAGATGTATTATCTAATGGAACAGTGTTACCAAATTTTGAATACTGAAATAATGTTTAAATAGGAAACTAAAACTGCTAGTAGGTTGCAGCATGTTTCTTCTTAATAATTATTCTTCTGAATAATTTATTCAGAAACATTTATGATTTCAGTGTTTCAGTGACTGTCTGAATGGGTTATTAACTCATTGATAATTCACTAAATAATTAGTTCAAAAAGCAGACTTATTCAGTAATGAAACTCATCTGTCTTCAGAAATTAAATCTAATCAAATCAGGAAATCTTTATCAAAAGCTGGGATTAGATGCCAACATGAAAGTCCTTTGCAAAAGTTTAATTTGATCATATAAAAAACATGGCATTTTCCATCAACACCACTGCAATTCCCCATTCCAAATGAAAGTCATAATTTCCTCTAATATGAAATTTACCTCCAGTGCGTAGACACCCTAAAGAAGTGTAAGTAACAAAATGTGTGATGCAAAAAAAAAAACCACACACAAACCTGTACAAGCAGTTGAGCACCTCCTCCTCAGTGCACTCAAACTTCTCGCACACCTCCTTCAGTGCCTCCTCATCAATCATATTATTGCTATATGCAGCGTCCTCTGGGAACAGATACTTGGGGAGATCTTGTTTAAACCACTCATCCTCCCTGAGAATGGAGAGCAACGAACAGAGAAAGAGATTTGCACTTTTAGAAATCTTGCTCTCCACATCATAATAGTTTTGGCATTGCCAAAATTGAAATGGACAGTGTTTGTGTAGCTTCTGACCGAATCTCTTTAATAGTGGCTCTCTTCATGGGGTCCACCTGGAGCATGTGTTTCAGAAGGCTAATAACGGAGGGGTGCAGATACTGAGGCGTGAAGAAGATTCCATCGCAGATCTTCTTGAAAAGTGTTGGCACGTGGTCATCGTCAAACGGCAGCGTTCCGCACAGCAGAGCGTATAAAATCACACCACTGCTCCAGATGTCCACCTCAGGCCCTGCGTATAACCTGAGCAAGAGCAGCAAGAAAATATAAATGAACGGACAACACAAAGCCATTCAAAACAACACAGAGCATTATCGTAGAGGATGAGAGCAGGTTGAGATCATTTCAAAATAAAAAACAAATGCAAACAGTACCTTCCAGAGATGACTTCAGGAGCAGCATAATTAGGAGAACCGCAACTCGTCCTTAAGAATTCTCCATCTGACATCATGTTTGATAAGCCTACATGAAGAAAGGTCAAAGTTTAAGTTAGTATAGCCTGTAAAATAAACATTAAAGAAAGAGCAAATCCACCAACAACCTAACTTGTTTCATGTTTCTTAATATGAAGAGTTCACATACCAAAGTCTGCAATCTTGGCATTCATGTGTGCATCCAGCAGGACGTTCTCAGGCTTGAGGTCTCTGTGCACCACCATATGTCTGTGGCAGTAATCCACCCCTGAGATGATCTGCTGGAACAGACGCCTGCTCTCCTTCTCGTCCAACTGACCAGAGACACAAGAACATGTTTTTACACATTTCCCATGTGAACTGACCTGAACATTCAGTTTACAGTTCCCCTTCTGCAACCTACTGTGCCATTATTGTGGCTCCTGATATATACTACTTTTTAAACATTTGGGGTCGATTTTGAATAGATGTCTTACATTCACCATATAATATATATTTTAAAATGTAATCCATTCTTGTGATGCAAAACTAAATTTTCTGCAGCCATAACGTCACATGATCCCTAGGGAATAATTTTAATAAGCTGATTTTGTGCTCAATAAACATTTCTTATTACTATCAATGTTGAAAACAGTTGTGCCGCTTAAAATATTTGTAGAAATTGTTATGCATTTTTTTTTAATTCTTTGATGCAATGAAAGTTCAAAAGAAATTTTAACAGAATTTTTAAAACAATTTTCTGTCGTTTTTGACCAATTTAATGCATGCTGAATTAATTTAATGCTTGTTGAATAGTAGTGTACATTTTTAAAAATTAATTCTTAGATTAATTTATTTATTCTGGCAAGATTGGAAAAGATTATTCCACAAGCAGAAGAATAGAGTTCAGATGAACTGCAATAAACTAACGCAAGGGGACTACGTTTTTTTTATGCCAATGGCATAAAAGTTACAGTTCATTTAAACAAATACCAAATTACTTGCATTCTATTTAGGATTTCACGATTACAAATCATTTAAACTAGGGATGCACCGATAGGATTTTTTGGGCCCGATACCGATACCGATTTTAACAATCACTTATTGGCCGATTCCGATACTTGATATTTGTCACTTCCTCTCTTATTTGAAATGTTGGCATCAAAAATAGATAGTATTTTGATCATGTTTTAAATCAGCAAAGTTAAAAAACACCTGCATTAAATTTATTATATATATATATATGAAAGCACGCAGTTCTTCGGATTTAAAGTTTGTCAGTTTATTAAGCACCCCCCGAAAAGGCATGAGATCTGTATATATTTGTTTACTGTTAGTTGTAATAAGTGTTCTGTGTAATTCGCTGTATGTTGATGATAATGCAACTGAGAGAGAGAGAGTTTAATGTTCACTTCTCGTGCTGTGTTTTGTTTAGCTCTTATGGTGATTTTAAAAAGAAATTTTAACAGAATTTTTAAAACAATTTTCTGTCGTTTTTGACCAATTTAATGCATGCTGAATTAATTTAATGCTTGTTGAATAGTAGTGTACATTTTTAAAAATTAATTCTTAGATTAATTTATTTATTCTGGCAAGATTGGAAAAGATTATTCCACAAGCAGAAGAATAGAGTTCAGATGAACTGCAATAAACTAACGCAAGGGGACTACGTTTTTTTTATGCCAATGGCATAAAAGTTACAGTTCATTTAAACAAATACCAAATTACTTGCATTCTATTTAGGATTTCACGATTACAAATCATTTAAACTAGGGATGCACCGATAGGATTTTTTGGGACCGATACCGATACCGATTTTAACAATCACTTATTGGCCGATTCCGATACTTGATATTTGTCACTTCCTCTCTTATTTGAAATGTTGGCATCAGCCGATATGCTGATGGTTATAAATTGAAGAAAAATCGGCGGCCGATACATCGGTGCATCCCTAATTTAAACCTAAATTGTATGGCTATTGTTTAACTATTGTAATCAAAATGCACTTTTTCTTTCTGTTGAGCTCTGTTTGATTGACAAGCATGCAGATGCTCTATGATGTATTTGATTAACGTGTGTGGCATCAATTTTCTCACTTTCTGCTGGTCACTCCACAAAACTGAAATGTTCTCATTATAAGAACACCACATTAAAATTTAAGTAAAAGTATTTTTCTACTGTAAATTATTTAACAATATTAAAAAGCCATCACTGATGGAGCATCTCTAGGCACAGCACAAAGACCAAACTACACAACAACTAAATTAAGTCAGTTATTTTCATTATCCATTATAATCAATACATTTTTTAAGGCCCTAATCATAACCCACAAATTAAAACTGAAGATGTACCTTTCCATTTTTACAGATGTAGTCAAAGAGTTCTCCTCCTGACACATATTCCATTACCATGAAGATGTCTGTTGGTGTGCTGATGACTTGGTAACTATGAAACAAACAAAATGCACAAATTGGCAAAGAATACATGTCACTGGTTCTGTCAGTGCAGTGAACGTAATGCATCTGAAGAACTATGCAAAAATCTCAAATGTGTACAAAATGTTTGCATCATTCTAAAAAAATAAATAAATTCTGAACTTTCCCTATTTAGTACTGATTTAGAGATGAATTAAGGCATATTTCAAGGCTTCGATTTTTCACTTCTACTATTGTTCCCCTATTTATATGAGAAAAGTAAATTAATCCCTAATGGTTTTGGAGCATGACTGGATAGCTCCGACATTCCCATGTCTTGTCTGGCCACAGTACAGACAACAATCAGGGTGAAAGAAAAAAAAAAAGTTGTTTAGAACATCAAAGGCAAAATTTTACTTCTTCTCTATAATGGGAGGAAATGGAAATCCCCTCCCTCTTTCCCATCCTCTGCAATTATGTGAATGTCTTGCCTCATTCCAAACCACAAAAATGCAAGCAGGGTCACTAAGAAAGCCTGTCCAAATTTCCATACAAACATGGGGGCTCATTTGCACACACATCAATCTGTAACTCTCTTACATACACTGGGATAAATATATATATATATAAAAAAATAAACTCAAAACAATTATGAGTAGGTCAAAGTAGCATATTCTAGCCCCGAAATGGAACACTGCAAATTCATTATCTGTGTATTAGAATACAGATGGAATGAATCAGTACTCACAGTTTGATTATATGCGGGTGACGGAAGAGTTTGAGGTTCTGGATCTCGCGTCGAATCTTCCCCACCACATCCAGACTACGGATCTTCTGCCGGTTCAGAATCTTTACCGCCACCTGGTGCTTTGTCAACTCATGCTGGCCCACTGCACAGACAGGTAGAAAGAAACAAATGTTTGTGAAGGATTACATTTATGCAAATACAATAAAATAAATGTCCAATGTGTTTCAGACAAAGATACAAAATTAGTGCCAGTGGGTGACAGGTCTGTTCTGATAGGGCCACGGACAGCAGTGGAAAAATTGCTAAATACAAATAATAAAATGCAAGCAACCATATAATCATAGCAAAATAAACAGGCTTTTGAAAAGGAGCAGAACGCGTTCTCTCAATCTTTTGCTGTTGATGGCAACGGCTGTTTGTACAAATGGTACAAATCAATTTGTCACTTGGTAATTTGGCTAAAACTAATACTTTATTTCACCTAGTGTTTATTCCACAATCCACGCTGCTAAACCACACATTTGCTGCTGTATTTTAAACTCAAACTCAATAATATATAAAACTCAACTCAACTCGTAATTTGCAAATTGTCAGGCCAATGCTGTTTATGGTAATAATAAAAATAATTATATTATTATTTGATATTACCAATATTGATTTCCATTTTTGTTAACTTAATATCAACACAGATACTGTAATATCTGCGTCCTGAAGTAACAAACACTGAGCTAAATGACACTCAAACAGCTGCAAGTCAGCACCTTTGAGGCTTGCATTAACATCACAGAGCCAGTTAATGTGCGAGGTTCACTGCACATTTACTCAATTTTTACATAAACTATTTTCATAATGGCAAAGGCCTTGCCAACCAGCTTTTTATAAGGCTGGATATTGCTGCATCAGTATGTGCTGAAGGCCGTACATTGAACCATTCCTAGAAGCTGGGTATGGTCTCGGTTAAGTTGCAACATTTAAAAGCAGGCCACCTGCATTAACTAGACTGCTCTAGTTATGCATTAACACAAACTCAGTCATGCAGAGGGAATTATGTGTGTGTGTGTGTGTGTGTGTGTGTGTGAGTACCCACAGACCTCACATATTTCTTAGTACTAAAACATCACTGTCAACCTTGTTTATAAAGGCTACTTGTTAGATTGTTGATTAGTAGGTTCCATGTTCTGTCAGCGGTACATAAACTTCTCTTTTCCCAGAAATCTTTCCACACAACACACATCCTGTCTTGAAACCTTTGGTTTGCATCATGTATTGCCCCATAACACAGGCAAATGCATTGGTTTCAGGGGCACAGCAAGCTGGGAAGCCATGACTTAGTACAGTAGGCATTTAATTATTGCATCAGATGTGGTGTCACTGATGTGGGAAAAAAGGAAACATGATTGAGAGTGTGGACTTTTTGAAATGTCACCAACTGTTGGGTGCTCCTTGGCAAACATACAGTTAAAAGTAGGTTAATCAATTAATCTGTCTTCGACTCATCTGATTTAAAAGCAAATATTTATTTTCAGTATTTTATTTTTAACATTATGTCCAATGTCCTCCAAACTGTGCAAACTGAAGAATGTATCTATGGAGGCTATGCTGTATGTATGTATATATATACACACATGTAATAAAAGGTTTAAAATATAAACATTACATCCTAAAACTTGACCACTATAATAAAGTGAAAGGCAAGCACAGACTAAACACACATTTACTTATCTGGATAATGTAAATATATTACGTTTATACCCTATTACAACTAATAAAAATATAACTATTCTGTGTCACTAGATTTCAGATGTTGTTTTGTTGTTGCTGTTGTTCATAGAAATAAGTTATTCACTACAGTAAAGTGACGTGACTGCCGGATGTTTTATTATGAATCGATGACCACGTTTCACCCCAAGTTAAGACAACGCTAGCCTGACAAATACGGATGTCATTAATCGCCATTAATATACATGTCATGCTCGATTATTGAAGTCACGACTGGAACACAGAAAAAGTGCAAGCATTTTTAATTCATCTGACTCATAGCACGCACCTTATCAACAAAATTAACTTTTTTTAAATAAACTATTTTCTTGTCATTCTGACGAAGACTTTATGACTAGCTGCATCTGTCGTTGTCACTTGGCCTGTGCAACGAGCGAATCCATCAATCCTCACCAAACTGCAACTTCAGAATACGAATCACTTCATAAACCATAAAGCTATCCAGGTTAGCTGCAACCAATCCCTCTACAAACCAGACTAACACAAAACATGCACGCACATATTCAGAAAACTACGTCAGCATCGATCGGTTAACATTATCAACGCTGATCATCACAGAAAGCTTTGTTGTTAATGTTTGTTTCATGACTACACTGTCATTAGCCAACAAGTGCTGCAGCTTTAGCCGCACTTAAAGGCTCGATCTTCTCCAGTTTTGCTTTACTGTCTTCCATACAACAATAACACAAAACCCAAAACACCTCGGACAGCTTTACCTTTGACTTTTCCAAACGTTCCCACTCCTAGGGTGTCTCCGAGAATATAATGTCCGATTTTCACCCTGCCTTCATGTTTCTGTTTGTCCGTCGCCATCTTCGCTCTGAGGCCCTACCTGCTGAGAGAGAGAGAGACAGCAGCGTCTCTACTGACAACTACCGGTACAGAAGAGCGCGCCAAAACAACAAGCTCCAAACGCTTGGATTAATGTTTAATACATAAGTGAAAAATATTAACTAATTATTAACTAAAATAATTAACTAATTAACTAAAAATAATATATAAAAATTAAATTCTAAAAAAAATATATATATATATATATATATATAATAATAATAATAATAATAATAATAATGTTATATGACAACAACAACAATAATAATAATAATACTAATAATAATAATAAAAATAGTAATAATGGTATATTATCATTCTTCTTCTTCTGGTATATTATCATCCTTCTTCTTCTTCTTCTTCTTCTTCTTATTATTATTATTATTATTATTATAGCAGGAATAAGTGATTAACTGGCTAAATTTAAGTTTTGTTTGAGACCACACACACAACCTCCCTACATGTGTCCTGGAAAGGTTATTTATTTATTTATGTTGTTGTTGTTAATTTATTATACTACCGTTCAAATATATTTTGTTCTGTCTTTTTTGAAAGAAATTAATACGTTTATTCAGCAAAGATATGTGAAATTGATTTAAAAAAAAAAGTGATAAAGATATATATTGTTATATATCACAGGTTCAAAAAAAAAAATAAATAAATACACAGCTGAACTGCATACAACTAATGTGTATATGTATTTGTATATTTGTATATGCTGTATTTATATGACAATGACCAACCAAGAACAAACCAAAGTTTCAACAAATATAAATGTTTTAATGAAAGGCAAATACAAACATTCAGACATTTAATTCTTTGAAGAAGTTAAAAACGATGATGACTTGATACGACTGGACCAAATGACTTGGCAAGGACAATGATGACGATAAGTATAGAGATGGAACCAATAATGACTGCAGCAATGTTCAGTTTGCGAGCTCTGGTGCCATAAGACCGTGCCATTGGGATGTCTCCAAGCAATCTGTTGTCCCTGGCCTGACACAAAAAAAATATATGATAAGCTTCAGGTATTTGTAAAGCAGCAGGACAGTTATATAATTTCATATATGTATATTGCTTACCTTTATTGAGTTGTAAAAGGCCCCAAACCCAAGACAGCAAGGGTTACAGAAGTGAAGATTGAATGTGGAAAAAATGATATCATCATTGACTTTTTGGTCAGGCATGGAGAGTATTACTGGCTGGGCAGTGAAGACTCTGTCGTCCTGCTTCATGCTCTCCCCGGGTGCTGGGTAGTTCTGCATCGCCATGTCAATTCAAAACTGAAACATTTAAGGGGGTCTGAATACTTTCCGTACCCACTGTATATATATATATTAGCCCAGAGGCTGGGTGAATATGGGACAGAACACATGCTGGGCTAACCCAGTGATTCTTAAAGTGGGTTAAAAAATAGCAACGGCAAGGCAAAGCGTTTAAGTGCTTGAATGGTGGCTGGCTCTCTGTCACCATTCAAGCACTTGAATGCTCTCTCCTAACAAGCTGATGATCTGAATCTAGTGTGTCAAATAAGGGAGACATGGAAAATGCGCAGAGCAGGGGACCCCGAGGACCAGGCCACTCCAGACCACTGACTATGGCACCTTCTCAACAAACCTGACAAAGATCCTCATATTTGAATTAGTATTTACAGACTAACCCAATCCTCTAAATCTTTGTACAGTATACAACACAACATGTTTGCATGATATCTTCATTTTCATTAGGCCTACATCATATCTTTATTTTTTTTTAGTAGGCCTATACAGTTCTTAATACAAGATATTTTATACCATTTTAATGTGTATACAATATTGGCTACATTTAAACTCATTTAACAAACATTTTAGAAAAATTAAACATTTAAAAGTAATTTAAGTGAAATCAACCAGCCCTTGTTATCCTTATTTCTCCATAACTGTGCTGGATCTTGTGCCTGTGTGCCGAATTTCGACTCCCTGACGATGTCTTGTTTGTTGATCTTTGTGGTTGCTCACTTACATTTTTTTTTTTGACATCAGTATAGTGTATTTGCAGACTTAAAAGTTAGATTTTTTTCTTATGTGACAATATTCAAGAAATCACCTTCTCTTTCCTCTGAGGTAAAAGGAAGTTGGTCAACTTAGGTTTTGTAACATTGCACTTTTTCTTTTAATATTGCAACATTATTGAGAATTAAACTAACTCAAAGTCAGTGGAAGTGTTTTCTTTTGTGCAATATTCATCCATCATCCATTCTCCAAACCAAACCGCTTGTCCTAAGTAGTGTCATATAGGCTATCCTAGCGCCAAAACACATATACACTCTTAATAATAAAGGTGCTTCACGATGCCGAAGAACCTTTTTCTAAATAGTTCCATAAAGAACCTTTAACATCTGTAGAACATTTCTGTTTCACAAAAGGTTCTTTGCGACAAAAGAAGGTTCTTCAGATTATAAAAAGGTAAGAAAGAGATGGTTCTTTAAAGTACCTTTGACTCAATGGTTCTTTGTGGAACCAAAAATGGTTCTTCTATGGCATCGCTGAGAAGAACCTTTTAAGCACCTTTATTGTTAATAGTGTACACACATCTACAGGCAATGTTTTGAAGTAGCTTCATGTTAAAAAGCAATAATGTCAGTGTTAAAAAAATCATTATTTATTAAATGAATTCAATTTGAGCTTTAATGCAGCTCTACAGAAGATAGTGTCTTTATTCAGGCTCAGTTTAGTTCGGTATCTGTCAATGCTGCAAAGTTCACCAATTCATCTATAAGCAGCTCTACAGAAGGCAGTAGTGTCATTATTCTGTGTTTAGCTGCTGTTGGTCTAAGTTGTGAGTGTTAGCGTATTTGACTACGTTCTGATTCTGCTAATGTTCACAAGGTGAGATTTAACATCGTAAATTCAACCACTTATAAATTAGGTACAAGAATGGAATCACTATCATACAGGAGCATATCCCCCAGAAGTCACAATAGAATTTGCAAGTCTCTGTGTATAAATATGTAGTATTCACAGGATGACAACAAAGGAAGAGACTTCACAGATAAACTAGTCTTTCTTTTCTGGGTTTGGAATGTTTTCGTCACAAAATTTTAATGATAAGTAACTGAGAAAACTGTATGTCGCAATGATGCTTGCTCATGCTAAGACCTAATCACAGTGTGGTGTTTTATCTCATCACTCTGTTTATCTACTTCAGAGGTTACTTGTCAGGGTTCTGTCACTTCTGTCTAGTTTATTCATGGTTTTGTGACAGAGCACTCCTGTCATGTCTTGTTTTCGTGGGAGTGCGCAGCTTCAAGCGTGGTTTCGGTTCCGTGCCGGGGCTTGGACACTCACGCTCCATGTCTTGTCTTTTCATTTCGTGTCTTTCACGAGCTGTGTATTCATTCACTCAGCGTGCACTCTTGTCTTGTGAGTGCTTGGTTTATGTCTTCATTAGCCAGGCACTCTTGTGTTGTCATGTTCTGTGTGCAATGTGGTTCGTGTTAGCACGGCCGTGTGCTTTCTTGTCCTGTTTTGTGTGAACACGCAGCTCATGAGTTTTTATCATAGCTGCCTGTTCATGTCTTGTTTTGTGTGAGCACATGGCTTTGTTTTGTTTGTTTCTGTGTACCATGTGCCCTCAGGTCTATTGTCTATCCCTGCCCACCTTGTTACCTGATTATTGGTTCAATTGCTCGACCTGTGTTTCCCTTGTTACCTGCCTTGTTTGCTCCCTGTTTATTCTCCTTGTGTTTGCAGTTCTCTGCTAGTTCATTGTCTAATATAGCCTTGTTGTTTTCTGATCCTGCCTGCCTGTTTTCCCCTATGGGGTAGTTTTTGTTGCTTTTTATTTTATTTTTATTATTAATAATAAGCCCATTCTTCCTGCCAATTGAGTCCTCGTATCATCCCTTCCTACAAAACACATCTGAGAACTTTTCCTATAATTTTTTATCAGAATTTGTCAGGTTGCATGAGTAGTGAAAATATCATAGTTAAAAAAGAGAAACAAAGTCACACTATGAGATGTATCCATAGTAAAAAGTCTATACAGAGAGAAGTTTTGAAGTCACATTTTTATTCCTGAAATCTAACAGAACATACATTTTCTCCTGAAATGTTTGCCATTATTGAGTAGATTGTTTATGACCTCTGTGTAAAGTTCAGCAATACACCTCTCAATAATTCACATTCTAAGTGTAGTAAGTGTTTATGTACTTTTTAATGTATATTATTAATGGAAAGGGTCAAATGTATTTGTTGATGAAAAAGGAACTGCACCACTTCCCCACTATGACCTTGTTTCTTTGTAGGTTGAAGTGGATTTGGCAATATTGATGGGAATATTGCTTTTTTCATTCATGCAATGATCTACTGAAATAATAAAGGCTATATGCTTTAATTTTATATGCTAGAAGTTAGTGTGCTATAAAAATTCAAATTTACCACAGAAGAGCATGTTCAGATTTGTTTTATTACTATTTATACTGCAATTGTGTCAATTATTTTAAACAGACCAGTGTGTGAAAATGACACTTTATTGCTTTCTCCTGCAGAAATGTGTCAAAAAAAAAAACTTGCGTAATTGTAGTCTTTAGACAGTGTTTAGAACATCCACAAAGAAAGTTTCTTTAGATTTACATGCAGATGAACGAGGTAGTTTGCAATATTTTTTATGAAAGTGTCTCAACATAACACTTACATTGTACAAATTAATAAAACAGTTTAACATGAAATGAAATCTATTAATGTGTCATTTGTAACTCGGAGTGGATCCAGTAATAACAGGCAGTGATGCAGTTCAAGGTATAATCCAGAGAGGAGGGAAATATGTGGCAATACAATGCCAAAAAAAAAGGGAGAGAACATAATCAAAGAACAATAACGTTTAACCGGCTGAAAAGATTGCACCCACTCATGTGTATTTATCATAAAATTATACTGATTCTAAAATGACATTATATTGATTGTTATCATGGGAACAATGATTCTCATTTCTTTTTTTAACCACACATGCCATGCAAGATTTTCATACCTCTGTTTTGTGATGCAATTAGCACCATCTGTTCGTCTGGCATATAGTCAATCTTAAGCCTAATAACAAACACTTTTCTTTTTAATAACTATTCATATCCCAAACTGCTACAAACCAGTCTCATTTTAGATTTGTTATGCTGTAAGATCTCTTGCGTTTCAGGTCTGTGCAAGGCCTGTACTGTCAGAATTTTTCATTTTCATTTGCTGTCACTCCACTGCCTCAGTATGTCCTCGGCTGCTTGAAGGGTTGTGTCCTCCTATTAATGTTGACAAAAATATTAATTAAATAATATACAGCATTTTAACAAGGTGAACAGATCACAATGGAAATCACTTTTCCTGATTTAGTATCATGATGTTCTATTCACTTACATAAAGCAATCCATATTACAATAAAAAAAAAAAATCAGGGCTTTCAGGTCAAAGTTTCCATGTTAGCTCATGTGATTAAGTAACAGTTGGCTTATCATTATTTTATTAAAAGTAATTTAAAGTAAAAGGACTTTTAATGATGATAACTAAACTTAAAGGCACAATATGTAAGATTTTTTTATTAAAATATCCAAAAACCACTACAACGGTTGGCGTCATCAAACTACGCCTTTGTCTATTTTGAATACGTGCCCGCTAGCGGCGAAAATTACATATTGTGCCTTTAATAAGGGTCTCTAAAGCAGAAAATTCACAATGCCGCAATTTCTAAAAAGATAATAAATTAAATATACTTAATGTTATTGTTATTGAAAAAAACCTAACAACATTAACATCCTAAATAATTAAAGAACTTTATTTTTAGAATTTTTGTGTTAAAAATACCTTAACGAAACAGAATCGGATGTATTTCTGGAATTCGTTTCTGTGTTCCGGGCTGTAGAATGCAGACACAGGGATAGTGGCCAGTCCCTATTCAGAAGTGTAGAACATTTTTATAACTTATTTTGGTCAAAGATGTCACTATATGAGAAGATTTTATAACCCATTGTAAATGCTTTGTTTTGGCTTACCTTTTCTTTTATGAGCCATTTCACAAATCTGTAGTCATAGGGTTCATCTTTAGTACTAGGGTCAGTAAGGTCAACATCTTGTAGAAAAACATTTAAAAACAAAAGGCAATATTAAAAACAAACTTTATTTAGAAATAATCACGTCAAAACAATTATAATTGCTATCACACAGTGTACCTTTTATACTTTGATTTCTCATATTATGAAGATTCCCCTACTCATGGAAAACCTGGATATATCAGGGAATTTTAAACTTTTTCTGGAAATTAATAAAACCCTAAATTATAGAAATATTCTATACACTCTAAAAAATCTAAAGTTGAGAAAACTTTAAGGCAACCAGCTTCAGGAGATTTTTGAGTTTTCTCAACTTGTTGTTTTCAGTTTATACAACAACAAGTTGAGAAAACTCAAAAATCTCCTGAAGCTGGTTGCCTTAAGCTTTTATGTTTTCTCAACTTTTGATTTTTTTTTGTTTTTTTACAGTGTAATAGATATTTATTTATAATTCTATAACAGATATATATATATTTTACTTTCCAGTCAGTGCTACATTATTTTACCAGCTAGAAATGGCTCTTCGTAAGTGCAAACCCTATAAAATTATTTGTAAATATCTTTGTACAATAAACCTGGAAAAAAAGTGTGGGAACAATAAATTATGTGTTTATTACCATAAACAAGAGCTCAAGAGAGGACAAAAGCACCTCATCTCTGTAATTCTCAGATATAAAAATTATATTTGTATAATCCATAAATTAATCCAAGTTCCTGCTTTAATACTTTGTTCTACCTTTTTTTTCTCTGTTACTTACTAAGATTTGAGATATCTGCGATCATGAAGTATCCTCCCTGGGGTAGTATAGGTTTTAGGCCAACGCTCTTCAAACAATCTGCCAGCCTCAGACGCTTTTCATGAAGATGTATGGGTAACTGGTGGAAATAGCTTTCCTCTGTGCCAAATACATCATACTCCCTCTGAAAACCTACTGCTACGGCCTCCTTAAAAACAACATTAGACAATGTCAGTCCACTGAAAACAAATTACACACACTTTACGCCTAAAAGGAGCATTGTTTTACCTGGGCAGCTGTGGCACAGTGATACACTGAATTCTGATGAACGGTTTTTAAGTGCTTTAGGATATGTCCTGATCCCATTGCCCAACCCACCTACATTAAAATAATAGAGTAATTTAATGACCTGCATGCTGTATATGCATACTGAACCTTATCACCATGAAACTTCCAGCCAGTCAACAGAGGGATATAACATTGCAAGAAACAAATGCTGTTGAATTCGACCAGCTCACCTTCCATCCTGTGGCACTGAAAGTCTTGCCTGCACTCCCAATGGTGACAGTGCGTTCCCACATACCTGGCAGACTGGCTGTCAAAAAAAAAAGGTATGTTACTTTAAAAGTCCACAAAACTGTGATTAATCGCATTACCTGCACAGTTATGCACTTACCGATTTTCACATGTTTTGTTCCATCATATGTGAGCCACTCGTACACCTCGTCGCTGATGCAAATGACGTCATGTTTAATGCATAAGTCAGCAATCATCTGAAGTTCCTCCCGCTGGTAGACCTGCAAGAAACCAGTTAGGGTTAGGCTGAATTTGTCTCTGTGGTAAAAATTGTACACACTGACCTGAAAAGTAATTTCAACTCATTTTTATATATATACATATATTATATACATATTATATAATTACATTTCCATTCAAAGATTTGGGGTCAGTAAGATTTTTTTTTTTTTTAAAGAAATTACTACTTTTATTCAGCAATGATGCATTAAATTGATCAAAAGTGGCAGTAAAGACATTTATGATCTTACAACAGATTTCCTTTTAAAAAAAGTTAATTTTAATTTCATTATTTTGATTTGATTTTCTTGACAGTTTTCATGAAATTCACTCATATAAGAATATATTGGACAACAATGGGTAAAACTGTCCTCCATTTGTTGGTGACTGACTCACCTTGCCAAGAGGGTTATTAGGAGTGTTAATGACAATGGCTTTGGTACGAGGACTAAATTTACTCGCCAACTCTTCAGGAGACAACACCCAGTCAGCACTGGATAGAACAGGACCACAGCCTTCTCTCTGTTAATACACAGCTTATATTATTCAAAACAAACATTTTAATCTCAGATAAAGCAAACAGATCTTGTCATGTGATATATGAACATACTGGTTTAAGGGGCACATATACAGCTGTTCCTCCCGCCATCATTACCATTGGCTGATAACAGTCAAAGAATGGCTCCACAATAATCACCTGCACAAGAAAGGGAAAAAGATGCATTCTGATACCACATATTGAACATAAACAGTGTCTTTTTTATTCTCTACTAACAATATAATTTTCTGAATATGCATATTGTTACCTCATCGCCCTCATCAATGAGAGCCTGGAAGGTACAGAAAAGTGCTTGATATGCTCCTACAGAAACCAAGATATCCTCCATTGGGTCTATTTCCCGGCCAACAATCCTACTGAAGAACTTGGCCAGGATCTTCACAAGATTTGGGTGGCCCTGTATGACAGCATGTTGTAAGATTGTTTAGCAAAGCTTTACTTATATACTTATTACATTACGCAGTGGTAGTTGATCATTTACTAAACAAACTGCAAGCCAGCAAGGGACTTGTATTTTTAATTTCTTACAAAAGCACGCGTGTACTGGTGCATAGAGAAACCTCCATTCAGGGCTTTGCAGAAAGCCTCCTGAACAAAACTAGGAGGGGAGAAATCAGGGAACCCCTGACCCAGGTTCACAGCCTTATAGTCAGCAGCCAGCTGAGTGAATTCCACCCTACAGTTGACATACACAAAAGGAATAACATGCAGTATTAAACATTAAAATGAGCAAAAATTTGAGTTCATTTACTTATATTTACTTAAGAATAATAAATTATTCTTATTACACAGCTCACTGAAATACTAGAATTGCTAATTGCCGCCATCTTGCGATCAAAACTGTTATTGCGATTACCAATTTTAAAAATGGAGGACATTGTTAATTGTATTATTCATGTTGAGTAAATAATAAAAAAAAACGTTAGTAGTTAAAGCAATAAAACGAAAACAAAAAACCCCGCCAAAAACACAAAGATGAGAGAGAACTTAAATTAGAGGAAGACATTCATAGCTAAAAACGTCCGCTAAGTAAATTACATTGGTTGCATAATAATAATAATAATAATACAACTAAAAAATGTCGATTATATCTAGGAAAACTATTGATAAAGCAACAAGCCGAACATTGGAAAAATACCTTTTTAAAATACTAAGATATTTTAAAATATTAGGTAATTAAACAAGTATATTTTGCAGTGTTCGTCTTGCTATGTTATAACGGACTTTCTAGCGGAAACTTAGCCATAATGATAATAATAATAAGTAACTCAATAGGCTATTTTATATCCATTTATTTACTTATTTGGTAAGCGCCGTGTAATAAGCACTAAATGACTACCCATTTATACTTTCACTTGATTTATAGGCCATGAAGCTTAATTACCATATATTCTTGTCAATTGCTTCGATTCTTCTCGCGTGCAATTTACGAGACATATTGCCCTGCGTAATCAAGAAGAAAATCATGCAATAAGAAAAAATAATGGCAAATTACTAAACCGCAGCTTGATCATGCATACAGGTGTAGCGATCGAGTGTGAAATATCTCATACCTTATCATGAAAACCTGCGTTTACTAATCTGATTGACAGCCAAGGTCCATTTACCGCCGCTCTTCTCCACATTCCAGTGTTTCAAAACACCTTTACTGCAGGATTTCTGCTAAAGCCGTAAATCAGTAACACACATAGTAACAGATTAGAATCACGGCAAATCTCTAGCATTTGAACGGTCAACCTTTAAATGTCTGACAGTCGATAATTAAGTGACATGACAGTAGTCTTGTCCTTGGGATTTAGATTCAAGAGACAAACAAAGCCTAAAATACTGTGGCAAATGTCGATTTCATATTGTAATCTAAAAGACGAATACACAAAACTTTCTGTTTTGCACCAAACCTTGTTTTTACTTTCCCCAGCTGTTAAAAGACGTCACACATCGACTTCTCAAGCGCCTTCCTCAGTCTCTGAGCCAATGAAAATGCGAGCAGAGCTCCTCCTCCAGGCAGCACTCTTTATTTTTGTAAGAGTACTTCCGCTTTGGGCAGGGCCAGTGACTGCTAACGCTACTTGACAGTATACGTTGTAGTATATATTTGTAGTGACCATTCTTATTGCACAGTTTTAAATATGCCGAACAGTCAAAGAGGAAAAAAGCTTGTTTCCTCAACTAACATTCTAATATACCTTTTATAGTACTCCATGAATATCGTTGGATCTGTGACAAATTGGTTATGTACATCTATCGTAAGTCACTTTAGATAAAAGTGTCTGCAAAATGCACGAATGTAGATAAATGCCCAACTTTGGGTTGACAGCATAAAAACACAAAATATGGACACAAAATACGTTCTTTATAAAGTTGACATTTTAAAAGTGACAACAGAAGAAAACATTTCATCCCAATGGAATTTTGTGAAATTTAAACACAAGGCGAAGTCCCCATGAGCATGATCCTTTCTGCCTTTTACCATTTCTCGCTTATTTTCTTCCTTTCTGCCTATAAGCTGGCCTTCTTGAGATCCTCAGGCAGTACACAACCCTTTTTCCTTGCCCTCTGTTTGCGTTTCTCCATCTTGGCATCCTTGCGTTTCTTAATATTCCTTCTCCGCTTGTCTTGCCTCTTTTGCATCTTCTCCACGACTTGCTGGCTCCTCTGTACCCACTTCTTTTTCTTCTGAGCCTTCCTTTTCTCCTTCTTTTTCAAGGATGCACACAAGAGTTCCTCGTTGTCTTTGATTTTCATGCCTTCAGCTTTGTAGAGAACATTGCTCCACCTCATCTTCTCTTCCTCTTTTTTTGCTTTCCCTTCATCCTTCTCTCTAAGCTGCTCCAGGTGAGTTTTCCTCGCCTCAATGCGTGTTAAAAGCTGTTTGTAGTTCTTGCCAGTGAGCGGAGTCAGCGTTCCTTTCACTTTCTTTTTCTTTTTTTTCTCCATCAGCTTTGTCCCTTTGTCCACATAGTCTTCTCTAACCTCCATCTTGTTGAAGACTATGAAGCTCTTCTCCTCTTTGGCAGGAGCGCTTGATGTAGAAGTGCCTTGTGGTTGGTCATTTGCTGTCTCTTTGTCCTCTTCTCCTGCCTGCAAAGCTGCAGCATCTGCTAACTTTTTAATTCGAAACTCTTTTCTTTTCCTCTTCCGACGCTCCCTTTCTTGTTTTCGTCTCTCTCGTTTCTTCTTTATCTCCTCAGAGGAGGGATCTTTAGGAGGGCCCTGGAAAAAACAGACATACAGGTGCATCTCAATAAATTAGAATGTCGTGGAAAAGTTCATTTATTTCAGTAATTCAACTCAAATTGTGAAACTCGTGTATTAAATAAATTCAATGCACACAGACTGAAGTAGTTTAAGTCTTTGGTTCTTTTAATTGTGATGATTTTGGCTCACATTTAACAAAAACCCACCAATTCACTATCTCAACAAATTAGAATACTTCATAAGACCAATAAAAAAAACATTTTTAGTAAATTGTTGGCCTTCTGGAAAGTATGTTCATTTACTGTACATGTACTCAATACTTGGTAGGGGCTCCTTTTGCTTTAATTACTGCCTCAATTCGGCGTGGCATGGAGGTGATCAGTTTGTGGCACTGCTGAGGTGGTATGGAAGCCCAGGTTTCTTTGACACTTCGAATTTATTTAATACACGAGTTTCACAATTTGAGTTGAATTACTGAAATAAATGAACTTTTCCACGACATTCTAATTTATTGAGATGCACCTGTAGGCTTGGCCTAAGAATTCTTAAAGGAATTATATAATAATTTTCACTTTTTCCATATAATACTTTTACTTTATCTTGTTTTTTACAGCAAAACAGTCATAATTTTGCATTTATGAGCAATTAATTTCTCTGACCCATACAATTAAACCTCACCCTCAGTTTGTATGAGTTTTGTTATTCTTTTTGAATATTTTTTAACACAAAAAAATATATTCTAAAGAATGAGGCCAAACAAACGCAGTTGTTGGTACCCACTGACTTCCGTAGTATGAAAAAAAAATTATTTGGAAGTCAATGGGGACCAGAAACTCTTTGGTTACCCACATCCTTCAAAATATCTTCTTTTGTGTTCCGCAGAAGATCATAAGTGATGACAGAAGTTTTGTTTTTGGGTGAACTATCCTTGAAGTAAAGTGATTCATTATATCAACATTCAAACATTTAACAATCCTTCGACCGAGATAACATTTTAGCCAATTTTGATATTTTAGTCCAACTTGAGCATGTACCTGTCCTCGAGATTCCTCAATCTTCTGGTGAAGTCTCTGACGAAGAATGTCTACAGCATCAAATTCTTGTGATGTTCCACCTAATAGGAATGAATCAGTAAAAATGCAATAGCATTTTAGTCAACAAGAATAAAGCATGCTGGATACACTACTAATCTCTCTTTACCAACTACTTTTTACCCTCAGGCTTCTTTCGTGTCTCTGAAATCCCATTCTGGACAGTTTTTCTCTGAGTTGGAGGTGCTGCAGGCCGAGTGCTCTTTAGAACTGGGTTATTTTTGTTTGCACTCATGTGATCTCCTTTTGTTGGCTTTTGATTGTTCTTCTTTTTCTTTGTTGAAGGAGCACCATTTACCCCACTGCCTCGGAATGGAACTAAAAGGGGAATTAATAAAACTTTATTCATTATATTTAAATAATTACGTTTTTTTAACTACTGACTTTGAAAATGAAACTTTGAATGAATAATAAACCAGCAATAAAAATGGCATAACTGCTGCAGGTGTCTGTTCAGTGTTTACTAATTAATTCATATGCAATTAACAATCCCCGAACTTTACCATAGGGTCTTTTCTTTGGCTCCCGGTTGTGAGACACGCATACTTTACGGGTCAGCTTCTCTAGGTAATCATACTTCGCAGCAAGGCTGGCCATGTTTCCTATTATAAATAAACTAACAATAAATTAATAAATACAGACATTTGCTGCAGATATGTAACATGTAGTCACTAAACAGCTCAAAACAAAATATAACGATTTTAGCGAAGTCAGAGTGCTGTGAAACCTATGCAGTATTTTACGACAACAATGAGAAATACGTCAATTAATACATTTAATAAACGTGTCATTATTCGTTTGACTTGTACGGGATTTTTAACTTACCTCGCTCAATCAAAAACGTCAGTCGAAACTGCTGTGATGCGTTTCATCAGCTGAGAATGGAATAAAGGGATTTGTGTACCTCCTTAGAAATTACAAACTCATTCGGATAAAATCCTTGAAATGTACACTAGTCTACATACAATATCCCTTATAACTTCACCAAATACAAATTCAGAAACATGCCCCACGTGTGTATGATTTTACGCATGCGCAGGATGGTTCGGAATCCCCGGAACTGGTTACATTGAAAACATTCCCCCGAAAGCACAAGGCATGTTATGTAGTCGACCTGGCACAATTTCAGCGAACATGAGTAGTTTCCGATTAATGCTGATGCTCTCTAATAGCGCATCTAAAATAATCCGAGGCTATGTAAGGTCATTTTCCCCTCATAAAGCGATCATTAAAATAGTTTTTTTTTTATATCAAAATGTTTGTTGTCAAACACTCACTCTTGACAGCTAAAGTGTATTTTATTTGTTCTTTTCTCAGACTCTCATCTCACCAAAGAGGACCCTATTTGTGGCGCGACAGGGTCTCCAGTACTCCAGTGTAATTCTGTTTAGCTTGCTCATTACTATATTCTTGATTATTGACTAAACTAACTACAATATCATTAAAAACTTTGAGGTCGGTAATAAGTCTCTTATGCTCACCAGGGCTGCATTTGTTTAATCAAAATACAGTAAACTGAAATAATGAGGAATATTATTAAAATACATTTTTTTTTACTTGATATATATTTAATTTGAATGTAATTTAATCATGTAATGGCAAAGCTGAATTTTCAGCAGCCATTTCTCCAATTTTCAGTGTCACGATCGTTCAGAAATCATTCTAATATGCTGATTGTGGTGCTCAAGAAACATTTCTTGTTATTATCATCAACATAATATCAGGACTGTACCACTGCATCCATGCTGAATAAAATTATAATTTTTTAAATTATAATAATAATAATAAAATGCTGACCCCAAATTTTTTAATAGTAGTATAAAATAAAATAGGTTTACAGTTAGAGTGAGTTTCTAATAGACTAGTGACTGAAATATAGCTGTCTTTCTTTCAGGCATTATGCTCGAGCAGTTTGCACAGCCTGATGTGACTTTTTAAAATGTTTGAAAATGTTTTTTCTATAGGTAACCTAGCCAGGTATGGCCAACGGTCAAGTTCCACTGTTGCGGGAACCGAGAAAGGAGAAGACTCCTTCCTGAAATGGCTTCTCTTGTTGATACCTGCCACAACCTTTTGTCTTGGAACATGGCAGGTACAGGCATGAGCTTGGTGTTTATCTGATAAAAACCATAACTGAAACAGCAATTAGCTGTTTGTGAAAAGCCTACCATTTGATTTTGTAGTTGAAACGCAGAAAGTGGAAGTTGGAGTTGATCCGTGAACTTCAGAGCCTATCCCACTGCCTGTAGAGTGAGTCTCTTTCCAAATCCATGTGCCATCATCTCTAGTGTTTATAAGATTACACGTTTTGATGAAATGGTGAAGTAATCTGTGTGTGACAGTCCTATGGAAATTAAGCAGCTGGAGTACAGGCGAGTAAAGGTGCGAGGACACTTCGACCACTCTAAAGAGCTGTATGTCCTGCCCCGCTCCCCAGTGGACCCGGAGAGAGAGGCCCGGGAGGCAGGCAGGATTTCCTCCAGCGGGGAGAGTGGAGCTAATGTCATTACACCATTCTACTGTACTGATCTGGGGTACAAACACACAATTTGAATTCCATACACTTAATTCCATACACTTGCTTTGCACTCTGATGTGGCTTTCTGGATAAAATTTTTAGGATCACTATCTTGGTGAACAGAGCTTATGTACCAAAAGATAAGATCAGACCAGAAACCAGAATAAAGGGGCAGGTAATAGCATTTTTTCTTCATCTCTTTTGAATCAAATCCAGGCATAAACATTATCAACAGACAAGCTTACTTTATTCATTTTCTTAATCTTTCTAAATGTTAAAGAGGTGTTTATATTTTCTAAAAGGTGACTGAAGATGTGGATCTTGTTGGTGTGATGCGTTTAACTGAGCAGAGGAAACCATTTGTCCCTCAAAACAATGTAGAAACAAATAGGTGGCACTGTCGTGACCTGGAGGCCATGGCGAAGGTCACTGGTGCTGAGGAAATCTTCATTGATG